TTTTTTTTTTTTTTTTAAAGGAAGTTGGCTCCACTTTATTCAACTAGTCAGACTTTCAGAAGGATTTTATATGAATGCGATTTCAAGTGAGGAACCAATAGAAGGCTGGTGCAAGGCTGGGTCTTGCTGGTGCAATCCCAACATTACTATGAGTTTTACATGGTTTTCTTTCATGTAAGTGCTGCCTTAATCAGCTCCTGTCACTTCTCTGCATGATGCAGGACTTGTGATTTTTGGTTTGTTTAGCCCAAAGATGCTCCCTGATTTGGTTCAGAACATGGCTCCACCAAGAGCTGCACTGGCACCGCTTGGATCAAAGTCCATACAGGGAAAAAGCAAAGTGGGAAAAAGGAACAAGGCAGATGCCTCAGTGTATTGGCACTGTTATAAGAGGCAAGATAAGAAGTTCTCATCAAACCAGTGATTTGTAGCTACTATGGGTGAGTAGCATTAGAACACAACCCCTTTAGATGTCCTGGAAAGTATTTCCATGTCCTAAATTTGGATTTATTTAAATAAATGAAATTATAAACTAAAGAAGATATCCAACCAGCTCTAGCTACTATTATTTGAAAGTTGTTTTTCCTGTTTAAACGGGTCTTTAGAATTACAGTCAACATTTTGTATGCTCAGAAAAAAAAAATAGGTTTTGAAGACTTGCTACACATTTACTGGGAAAAATGAATCTACTAGAATAAGGTCACCTGCAATTTGTCCTTCAACCCAAACATGCACAGACAGCTCTGCTGAAGTCAAACCTTAGATCTCTTCTTGTTCTTCAGATTAACTTTAATGGTAGCCAGCATTGAAATTTTGTATCCAAAGACAGTCAAGCAGTTACATTTTCAACAGAACAGGAGAAAGCAAAGAGAGGTACAGCAAGAGTAACACTTAAGCAATCAAGGATTTTATGAGATAATAACTTTAATACGTGGTTATCTTTACCTGGAATATTACATTGATAGTATTCTGGATTCTCTGATTCCTCTTTCACTGTTGCCATTGCCATTTCCAAAGAAATTCCTGTAGAAACAACAGAGGAGTCAAATATGGACACAAAGGAAAAGTAGATTCTTAAGTAAATCACACAACCCGCAATATTCCCGGTGGTACCTATTCCAAAACAAGAAGAAATGACTTGCAAGTGCTGAGATGAATGGCTACAACAAGAAAAATAAAGGGCCATTTTGGTGTTTCTGTTTTCATGTCCAGTCCTTATCAGAAGGGACTTGGACTTGAAACACTTGCCTGCAAACTGGGCATCCTTGCAAACACCATCTCAAATTTGAGAAACTAAAGCCCTCTTCTCCCTTTTTGCCCACCATCACAGCCAAAATAAAGAGGGGGGGCAGGGAGAGAGAAGAAAAAGAGAGATTTTATTACCTTTTGTGCCAAAAGTAGTACTTGACCTACTCCTCCTCACTTCTCTACACATCCAAGTTCAAATACACTCTAGATCAAATTCCACCTTTGAAGGCAGCAACATTCTTGGCAGTAACCAACTGCTCTTGGTTTCCTTAAGCTGAGCTATTCTCTACACATGCCTTTGCAGCACTCCCTAAACGTTTTCAAAACAGCTTGACAAAAGAAGAATTACTTAAAGTGCCTAAAAAGCAGCACTGGAAAGAGTTTCCCTATCAGCCCAGACAGTAAAGAGTTGATTCCTCTGAATCATTCTAATGGACTTCACAAAAAGCTGAAGTTAACTTCTTGTTTTGGGTGATTATTGCCAAATCCCAAGCCCATTCGCACCTAATTGGCGACAAGGATCAGCTTTGGCAACTGAGACAGTGGAACTCACTAGTGAAGTGCACGGCTACGTGAGGTCGTGCCACTCGACAGAAACTCTGTTTTTGCTGTTTGTATGTGTAGTCTTTAGATCTTTATTGTATAATATATATCAGCAGAGAGGACTGACTAAGTCCTATTATTAGCACACGGTCATGGTTGCGAGGAACTAGAGGGAATGTGCTGTATGAACCTTTCTGATCATTCAAATTCCATACATAAGCAATTGGAACAATTGCATGAATTGACTACACATTTACAGCACGATACAGGATTCGGCCTTGACAACTGGATAAAAGGTCTCGGTTTGGGCCCATGGCTAACATCAATTGTGCAACACTTAATTACCATAGGGATTGTGTTTATTGCAATTTTGCTTCTTGTACCATGTATCTTTAAATGCTTGCAAAACATGCTTACGCGAATAGTTAATCAAGAGTGGAATACAAGCTTAGTAGCCCAAAAAGAAAACGGGGGAAGTGTAGAGAGCATTGTTCAAACCTGGTTAATGGAAAAAGGACATAGCCAGGCAGAGCTGATACGGAGGGCTTAAGTAAGACAAAGGACAGAGTTTCCTTGAGATAAAGAAGTTGATGCAGCTGCACAAAACAAAGGCAAACAGGAACCGGTTTGATACCGGAAGAATGAAGAAGCTGCTTGCTTATCTACGGTAATCTGGGCTGGCCAGACAGAAGTTATCTTTCGAATAAACAACCAAAATACCGGTCGAGTAAACAACCAAAATGTATAAGAAGCAAGCTAAAACGACTAATAAACGAGTCTTGTTGATGACCAACTGGTGTCAGCAGTCTCCCTTTCTCCTACATAAGGCAGAAAACAGCAAAACACTAAGAGCTTCAGCCTGCAAAGTGCTGAGGAGTGTGGCCTAACCCAGCAACTCACCAAGGCAGAAGCTTATCTCTAAGCACACCTGCAGTCTCACCAGCTTTAATGGGATTATTCAGGCATTTATTTTAAAGCCTACAATTCAATATTGCTCTGCTACAGACCACGGTGCCTTGCAGGAGCATGTTCTAACTGCATAGGAACTTGTGAATGCCTGACCATTTTTTTAATGTTAATTTGTGTTAATAAACAACATTTAAGTTAATAAACAGCACGATTTATTATTATTTATTTCCATTTTAGTTATAAAGTGGTTTTCAGAGTTTTGGCATTTTCTCTATTTTAGTAATATTATATAAATCAAAATTTGCGCTCCACATCAGGGATAAAATCATCCTGAACTAAATAAAAATTGGTGTATTCCTCTTTTCCTTTTGGCTAAGCATAAATACTTGATAAATGCTTCAACTGACAAGGGACCTTTTTTAAGGAAAGAAACACTTTTCTTACATAAAGGATGGCTCTTTGCTGCTTTTACTGGTGGTGCTTCCTGCCCTTGCTCAAACACAACCTTCTGAACAGAAACTGATTATTCAGTGTTTTGCAAAGAAGGACAAAATATTGAACATACCGGAATCCTCATTTGGTTCCGTTTTTACTTGAATAGGAGGGCAACTACAAAAAAACAAACAAAGAAAAAAAAGAATCACTCATTTACAATATATAAAGAGTAAATGCCACATTTTGGGAATGTTCCTCAGTATATGTGTTGTCTAGTAACTTTAAATTCAGTGTATTGTTTTAAAACTAAGAGAACAATAGTAAAAGGTATTGCATTTTGGCTTATCTGAATTAACTCAAGGGAATTGCCCAGAATCTCCTTCACCCCCGTTCTTGAGACACGCTTCAGTGTTTGCCATTTCACGAGAAGTGCACCCAGAAGCACAGAAACATTTGCCATTTGCTCCCTGTTTTCACATTAATCAATTTCCCAGATATAGTCTTGTTCATTTTATTTTATTTTTTTTTAAACTGAAGAAGAAGGAAAAAAAAACACTACATCTGTTCCCCATCGCTACTCTATTATAAAAGACGACAAACTTATCACTGACTAACAGATTTGAATTAAGAACACTTACTGGGCTAATTAAGCTGAGGGGAAATGTTTAACTCATCTGTTTAACTCATAATCGTTTCCTTACAAACAACAGTCAACAGAGAAGATTCTGCTCTGTGCTTTTTATGATCTGAGGCAAGCAAAAGTTATCCAAAAAATCAGTTAGACCCGAACAGAAAAAAATATCATTACAAGAAAGAGCCTATATAAAAATATACAATAGACACCACACAAGATCACCTGGTTTTCAAAATAAGAAATATTTGAAAACAGGCCAAAAAAAATAAATTTACCTTCCACCTGAGGTATAACAGCGTGTGAAGGATCTGACACATGAAAAAAAAAAAAAAAAAAAAAAAAAAAGACAATCTGCGAGTTTTCTGTGTGCCATTTATCTTAAATTAAACATCAATTTCATGAAGTAGTAAACCTGTTCCCATCTTAAATGTATCTGTACATATTTTCTATATTTACATAACTAAAAGACACATCTCAAATTGCTTTATTAATCTACAAAATGACTCCAATTAAAAATTATTTCAAATGTGCACAATTACTATGCTTTTTAACACTCTATCATGGTGTTAAGTGAAAATCTTGGGGGGAAAAAAGTCTAAAGAAATCCTTCATCTAAACTCTTCCAGAAGACAGTGCATAGTTTAATATTCCTTATCTTTGTGTTACAACTAGACACAAATAGATTATGTTTTTGCAGAGTCATTTGGCACATTGAAACCCTGCTTTCTTTTTTCAGTATAAATATTATATTCTTGGAATTCCTGTAATTTCCCATTTCTAATCTTCCTACCGGGCACAGACAACAAATTTCTAATTTTATGAATACAGCAACAACTGCTGGCTACCTGTTTCATCTCAGAAAGTAAAACATTTCTTTTGGCTCTATTCCTACAGAGATTCTGGTAACCAGCATGCTTCATCATCTTCATACAAGTTCTCATATATATGAATGCTGCAAGCAAAGCAACATCATAAAAGGAACATAAAGTAATTTCATCTAAGCCAGAAATGAATCTTCACAGTTTCTTCAAAGTCACTCTAGCTCAGACTTGTAAATATGGGCTTATCATAAGCACTGTAACATCTACCATTTTAGAAGATTAAATACATTTTTAAAATGAGATATAAATACCAAAATCAGCTACATATTGGAACACTGAGCACAAGAAAGTCTATGCATCTTTTAAAAAAAATGCAATGAAGTTTTTATCGGGTTAATTATCCTTTTCCTAAAATGAGGATACTACTTAATTCATATTAAGTCTAAATTCTGCAATAAGTCAAAGATTTTTATTTCTAATTAGCTATTCATGGCAGAATTTCTGCAAAGTTTTGTACCACCTACCCAAATGTTCACATCTTGGGTCATTATCACTGCCCTGCTAAGTACTGGACATAATGCTACTGCATATTTAAAATCAAAAGCTAACCTCTTTCTGTGTAGTCCAAATAAGTGCTAACTTACCTAGTTGTATCTTTGGCTCTAGGAAAGGCCTGTATTAAAATAAAAAAGGAAAGTCTATAGCTTTAGCAAAGATAACATTGTTTACTGTTAGTATAACATTAAAGAGGTGGCACTCCTGTACAAATGAAACAGGCTGGACTATATTTATTAAAAAAATAGATAAATAAGTTGAATAAAGGGAACCAGTGAGTAAATAACCTTTTGATGATAAATGAGATCCCTGACTTATTTTCCAAAATCCACTTCAGAGTCGAAACATCGTAATTTGCTGGATGTTTAAATGCAAGTCCTTCAGGCAGGCCCTGAACTACCACAGCAGACTGGTCTAGATGAATCTTCTCATATGGCACTGGGACTACTGTTGACTTTCCTAAAGCTTTACCTGGAAACAAAAGGAGATTTGTAAGAGGTCAAAAGTAGGCAAGTTACCAAAAGATGGTGCTTAATGTCTCCCCACTGATATTTCCAAGCCCTAGTTCAGATACATTGCAACACTGCTCCTTTTCTATGAGGACTTGTTTTCATTGGGAAGCCATGGAGCTTTGTCTCTAGAACCACGAGCCAAAGGCAGGATCCAGGAAAAAACAAAACAAAACCCAGTCCAATGTACACCCATAATGTGACTTCTTTGCTAAAGATGAATCCTTCAAAAAAACCTTACTTTTTAGAGGAAATAGGTTTCCTATTGAGCAAACCAAAACCCTGACATCTGTGCTAAAGGCAGAAAAAGAAAAGATGCAGATCTGTATAAGAAACCAAGGCACAGGCTTTCTTAAAAGAAAATGAAACAGGCTGTTCTCTGCAATATTCTCAAAGTTCATATCCCACAAAACCCATACAAGAGCGAAAACTATCCAAGATATAGGTATGTTTTAGATTGATGTTAAATGTTAAGCTTATCACACTAATAGCAGTAGAGTTGGAAAGCCAAGGTTATACCATACTTTCCCTCCTACTCGAGTAAAATATTTGAAATCTAGAACAGTTATTCCAAAGACTTTATAGCACTCACCATAGCAAAAGCAGAAAAAGTCCTCCACAGACTTCCTGAGAGCTTCCAGTTCCACAATATCTACTGTTGGTCTGTTTACAGGTGATAAAGTCTTTGTTTTCTGCAGCTCTGCAGCCTTCTCCTCTTCTGTAACACCTAGAAGTAATTTCGTAAAATAAAAAAGCAGTACTGAGTCATTCGAATTTGGAACAGACAATTTACAGGGTTTCTTGCTGGAGATCTGTTAGATCTATGCTGATAATAAATATGCATAGGGTAAATAGACATTTACATTGTAATGATTATATGTTGTTTATGACCTTCAGAAATATCACCTTCTGAGATACAAAAAATGATGATGAATCAAGGGACACACTGAAGTAGATTGTTTCAACACGAAGAGGTAGAAAAGACTGTATTAATCCCAGAAGGGCAGAATACAACAGGGAAAAATGCAAAGCTGGCAAACAAGGATGGAAACAACTGCTGGGAAAAAGTTAAAATGCCTGTAGAGAGGGACTCAGAGAAATGCAGCTATTCCTGATGTCTTATTCAGCAGTTATGCTATACCCCTTTCTTTTTACACTGTAAGTCCTTATCTGTGTGTGTGTTTTTTTTTTTTTTTTTTTTTTTTAAATACAAGGGATCTGACTTTTGGAACAACAGCTCTTTCATCTTTCAAAAGACATTTTTAAATACATATATCTTATGGCAGAATAAGAGGAGTTGCAATCAAGCTGTTAGCTCACAGCACAGATAATGAGGAGATCTAAGCTCCCTATGTCTTTTTCTTTCACCAAAAGTTCTTCCAAATGAGCTGAAAAAGCAACACATTAATTAAAAATGCATTGATCATTTTAAAATCTTGCATCTTCGATACAAGTATCTATTCC